ACCTGGCTCCAAGGTGGAAATATCATGTCAGAAGGGCATGGGAGAGGAAAGCTGATCATCTTATGGCATCCAACAATCTAAGTGAGAAGGAAAGAGCAGAGAGGAGGGGGATGAGGGCAAGATATAGTCCTCAAGGTCACACCCTCATGACCTACTTTCTTTAAACCCCACCACCTATGTCTGCATCATCTCCACATAATGCCATCAATTATGATTTTATCAATGGATTAATCCACTGGTGAAGGTAGAGTCCTCTTGCTCCAGTCATGTCTGGAATCACCAGAGATACATCAAGAACTGTGCTTTACTAGTTTCCTATGCATTTCTCAATCCAGTGAAGTTGAAAATTAAGATGAACTATCACAGATAGGATTGATCATGTCCTTTGCCTACTCTTAAATTTAATTACTTCTATTCAACCTGCTGGAGGCTTGGAAGTATCTAAGGCAAAGAATCATCCGTGCTCACTGGTTCTGCCTTCTCACTAATCAAATGTAGTAGATGTTTTTGAGTCCTTTACCTAGCTTTTGCTTAGCTCTGTTATCTGTCTAAATACTTAGTAAAATTAAAAACTAATAAGAGACCTTTTAAATTGAGATTCCACCACCCTTAATTTCTGACACCTCTTTCCAATTTACCTGGCTGCCTAAGTCTCTTCAACTTCTACCCTGGGCTGTCCTCTTCTGTTCCCTCCAAGCTTTATCCTTGAGCAGCCCCACTGGCCACCATGGAAGTCTCAGGCTTGGCCTCTGCTCCAACTCTAAACCCTTGAGAATTGCTATCAGTCTTCCATCCACAGCACACCTTCTTATCACTGACCTCAGGTACAATTTGAATAATTGAGCTCCTTCATGAGAGCCTCACACTTCTCTTTTCCTCCTTTCATACTTTCTCTTCCAAATACTTGATTCTCACAGTCTTATACTATGAGTCTTTCTGACTCAGTTGTTCTCAACTGTAGGAATGGGAAGAATAAAAGTATTGATCCCCACCCTGAGCATTAGACATCTTACCATGGGTAGTTTGGAATGGGATAAATCATTGGTATTTTTAAATAGTTTTTGTATTATTATTATTATTATTGACTTTTTTGTTCTCTGGCCTAAGAAACTGAATTTCACAGACTTCTCAACAGCTAAGATTTCTGTGATAGTAACATTGTATCTCCAAAGTTCTGGGCACTGCAGCATAAGTGACAGTTGTTATTGTCATAAGTAAGGTATTCACACAACTTGATTTGCTCAGTATGTACCAATTATGCCCATTATTCTGATTTTCCACTAAATGAGGTACCCTGCCCTTCTGTTTCTCCAAGGTGTCTCATTGTACAATAAACTATACAGTCCTCCTAAGCATATGCATGCATAAAGATTTGAAAATACTTAGTAATATAGACAGAATTATGTCTCCCCCCAATTCATATGTCAAGCCCCTAACTTCCAGTACCTCAGAATGTGATCATATTTAAGAATAAAGTTTCTATAGAAACTATTGCCTTAAGATAAAGTGATTAAGTTAAACATGAAGCTCTAATTCAATCCGACTGGTATTTGGAAATTTGGACACAAAATGGCATCAGGGATGCACACACACATAGAGGAAAAAAATACATGAAGACACAGTATAAAGGCAGACATTTGTAAACTAAGGACAGCTAAGGAAAGTGGAGGAAACTAACCTTTCCAGTACCTTCATCTTGGATTTCCAGACTCCAGAACCAAGAGAAAATAAATTGATGTTTTTTAAGCCACTTATCTACGGCATTTTGTTATAGCAGTTTCAACAAAATAATGTATCTAATAAAGTACAAGATAAATTCAGTCTAAATATTACTTCCTATGCATTCCAATTTTCCAAGATGAATGCTTATTTAAAAAAAGATGAATGGTTGTACCATTTTAGTGCATTCAAGAAACTCACGATCTTAATTTTAGAGCTTTTACTCTCCCCAACTGTGCAGTAGAAGATCTGCCTCAGTGTAGTCACAGGACATGTTCACCTCTCACACACTCTGAGTCTCGAAGGCTGTGCTCAGCAGGGGGATCAAGGCACCCATTTCTTTGGCAGCAAATAAGACAGTGACAGTAAATGTCAAATGAGTGGATAATGCATAGTTCCTTCTCACAAGGAACTACATCCCAATCCAGGAATATCTCATCTTCATGCACCAAGTGACAGGCAAAGAGAGACTTATGAAGGCTCTAAGCATGTACTGAGCTTCCTGGAGAGTTTGGCCTGTGAGGGGACAGGCACACTGGTTTTCAGTGGGTGAGGAGGAACACTCCTAATGAAGGGAGTTGGTGGGGTCGGCATTCCCTACGGAAGAAACAGTGTAAAAAACAACAAAGAGAGATTTAGAAAAAGAGGCCATGTTCCCTCTAGTGCTTTCCTAAATACACCACTCTCAGTTTTAAATCCAGTTATTTCACTCTGTCCAGAGAGTACAGCTGTTATGTCTCATGTTTTCTAAAACCTTAAAAATGTGAAGACTGGTAGGTTTCAAATTCTGCACTTTCAGCTTTTTTTAAAACTAGAGTCCCTTCAAGATATTCCACAAACAGGGCTGGGGATGTGGCTCAGCAGTACAGCTCTCATCTCGCATGCACAGGGTCCTGGGTTTAATCCCCAGCACCACCAAAAACAAACAAGTAAGATATTCCCCAATATGTAAGCTCAGTTTTTGCACTTCCACCCACCACTTCACCAGTGTGCATGCACACACACACATGCAGATACACACGCACACACACACGTGTGCACACACACACACACGCACACACACACATGCAAAGGCCAAGAGGACCTGCAGTTTACCAAAAAGCTATTAAATTTGAAAGACTGTATCAATGTCATTCTCTCACAAAGTACAGATTAAGGTCACATCCTTCTCATAGTGATATGAAGTATCAAATCAGAGTATTCTCTTCCTTTGATAGAAAGCAAAAGTTATTTCACTGTGAAATTACAGTCTTGCCATTTTCAGGTGTTTAGAAACATTAAACAACTGAAATAGCTCAGCCCCCCTGCTATGGGATGCATTTCTATGAGGAAACACTATTTTAATCCAATACCAAGGCATAAATACAACAGACCATGTTTTCCACACAGACTTCTATTTCTTTCACACCCAAGCATATGCTAAGAGCTCTCAAACGACACTCTTGCTTCATCTCTAGGAGGTGTCTTGAAACATTTTTAGCTTACCAAACGCAAAACAGAGGAAGATCTGTTTCTTTACTCAAGGATAATCATTTTCAACTACTTATTTATACTAAAACCTATAGATTGAAATAAATTTCATTCTAAAATTGGCATCTATGCTGTCATAGTTAAAGTTGCAACAATTGTGCTTGAAGAAACAGTCATCCAGGAAATTTCATGTTGCTTCATGAAGTTTAAACCAAGTACTCCTTGGAATGAGGAGGTGAATAGCATCAAATAACTAAAAAAAGCATCAGCTACTGAACTAATGAGACCACACGTAGACCAAAAATGGTGTGGTGAAAAGGTCTAATGCCATACAGCAAAGTTCATCTCTTTGATGAACTTGATAAGATAACTGATTAACATTTAAAACTGTGCTTTATAATACACTAGCCAGTACCTACACATGGATATTTAAGTTAATTATAATTAAATAAAATTAGAAATTCAGTACTTCAGTCACATGAGCCACATTTTAATACCTCAGGTGTCGCATGCAGCTAGTTGTTGCCATATTGGATAGCTTGAATAGAAGAAAGAAATAGTCATCACTGCACACAATTCGACTGGACAGTGCTGGCAGAAGAGGGTTCCTTGTGACAGTTGTTATCACCATGTTAAACATCAAAGCCTGAATAGATCACGGGGAGAATAGCACATCTGTCAAGTTAACAATCCTTGGCAGACGAAAACATGGTGAGAAGGGGGAAAAATCCCATGCCTAGAATGAGTGACTATGATACAATATTGACTTTTGTATTACAAAAAATAGACAGGCAGAGAAATTTTAAACTAAAGTAGAGAAAAGTAAATGCCATTATTTGAATACCTTACCCCCCTTTTAAGCATTTATAAAACATGCTAGCCTCTCTTCATCTACTAGTGGCTGATTGAATTTTATTGTTTGTCCCTCAAATATTTTTCATTCACTGCTCACTTCCTGCCTCCAATGTTCTGCTGTTGTAACATTTTTGAACATTTATTTAAATAAATAGAACTCTGGTAAAAATAGAAAAATGCAGACACTTCCCTTTTTACAAAAAAGACAAAAACTTTATTTGAAATAAATTCTCCATTGTATATTACACCATATCCATATGTAAATCAAAACAATAATGATAATTCAAAGGAAACAGAGGGCTTCATAAAAGCACATTATCCAAATATTACTCTTGGCCAATGCTTTAACTAAATACACAGTGGACATTAAAGGAATAATATGGCACTTAAATAAATAAGAGCAAAGAGAAGGAAACATATTCACAATCCAAAGCAATAGGTTTTTGAACCTTTGGTATATGTCTCAAATAAATATCCGTAAACACGTTAGCCAATAGTGTTTAGTTCCAAGTTTTTAAACCAGTGATTTTTGTGTATGTATGTGTGTTTCAAAACTAACTGGCAAAATAAATTGGGATTAACATGGGCTGATTAAGGTCTCTGGTGTGAGCACACAGGTAAATTCAAACCATGGCAAAATGTGCACCCATGATGCACAACAAAACTATATAAGAAAATGAATAAGATACACCAGCTAGAAATTCTGTGGCATGGGTAAACACCCTCATTGTTAACAAAACAGAATCTTTTTAATGTTATTCAAAATCCACAAATTGGAAGGCAGAAATATTCCAGAGCTCATAAACACATGCCTAACAGTGCAACAACCATCTCACAGAAGTTTTTTAGTTGCATATTGCATTTCCCTCCCGCCCGCCCATCCCCCACCCATAATAAACAGCACCAGTGCAATTTGAGTTAGAAAACTGGAAATATTGAGACATTCCTAAGGTTTTCATAATGACTAAGAGCCAGTCTGATGGGGCTCTAGTGCAAACCTCTGCCATGGCCAGTCTCCAAAAAGCACCCCATGTAATTCCCTCTAGCTTGCAGATAAACCATATTAGGTCTAATGTAAGGCCAGGTTCAGAAAAAAGCTGGCATGCTATCCTGGGTTGAGGGAAAGGGACATGCTGATGGGGGAGATACATGGAAGATCCTCAAGGATGTTTGTCCTGCAGCCCAGGATAAAGGGATGTGTTGAAATAGGTCACAAAATTTGTATCAATGAAGTATTTGACTCATGCCATTTACCAGAATACAGAGCTCAGCAGAGCTTAGTCTTGCTTGGTAGCTGTGCAAGTCCACTGTTACCAGAATCTGGGCCATAAAAGAAAAGGGCCCAAAGGAAGAAGTCCAATTCGTCTATCTCATCACTCTACCCAACTGCTTCTGTGGAGCCAGTGGTGTAATACATGATAATGGGTCTACTGCTTCTCTCCTATTGATGCAAGATCTTCTCTTAACCAGCCTTATCCTACATCTTAATTGCATGAATGAGGGCTGATTTATCCACCTTTGAGCAGTTCATTTGCCTTGGGGCTTCTTGTCACCCTGCAGGCCTTCCCAAAACCTGCCCTTTCACACATAGGCAGAATCACTGGACTGAGTCCTGCCAAAATTGGGAACACTGACCCGGGGCAGGTCCTTGTTCCGGATCTCATAGACTGACTTCCTTTTGGCCTGGGCTCCTCGCACAGCCAGCTTGATCTTGCGCCACCCTAAGTGGTTGAGTTCAGCCAGGTTGAGCACAACACAGATGCCACTTACAGCAAACATGAACACTAGGAAGACAGTCTTCTCCGTGGGCCGGGATACATAGCATTCCACCTCCTTGATGCAAGGGTAGCGGTTACACTCATACAACCCCGGAACACTAAAGCCATAGAGAAAGTATTGACCAACCAGAAACCCAATCTCCAGGGCATTTCGGAACACCACTTGGATAATGTAGAAACGAGAGATCCCTTCCTGTCTTCGGAGCTTAGATCTCGCTGCAGTGCGCAAACCTGATGGGTGTGGAGTCAGCTCCTTAACTTCTAAACAATCTGGTTCCGTCTCCTTGTTGGTGTTCTCTGTATTCTGTAGCACCCCATTGACAATGGCATTCTGCAACTTCTTATCTTCTCTTTTGCCTCCACCACTGCCGCCACCCCCACTTCCTCCAGGACCCCCCATGGACTCAGGGGCATCTCTGTCCAGAGCTAGGAAGACAGTAGAGTATCGGCGTTCTCGCTGTTTGGCAGACTGGTGCACAGAATAGGTGATGAAGCAGAGACTGGGGGTGCACACCATTATGATCTGGAAGACCCAGTAACGTATGTGAGAGATGGGGAAGGCGCGATCATAGCAGGCCTGGTTACAGCCGGGCTGCAGAGTGTTGCACACAAACATGGTCTGTTCATCATCATACACCGTCTCTCCAACAATGGCCACAATGAGGATCCGGAAGATCACCACCACAGTCAACAGGATCCTGAGCAGAGGAAGAGGGAGGGAAAGAGGTTCTCGTGGGATGTATCACTGGTGGGAAAGCCCTGTTCCTTCCTTTCCTGCCCTGATGTTTGCCAGTCCTCTGGCTGGGGGAGCTGTCCACCTAGATGTGGTTCTGAACTGCAAATCCTGGAAATATTTCTTTTTTGCTGGATGCAGGTAGACTGGGAACACTTCATATTACAGAAACCCCATGTATACGCATCTGCATACACTGGTCATGATCTATTTCCAACATGTGGATTTCATCTATGTGCCATGTATAGAGTTACTTAACACACTTCTCCTCTGGATATGGCAAAGGCACACAAAATACTTGTGCAAACAGTGCATGCTTCAAGGTCTAGACACAGGGTGTGTTTGGAACTATTCTATGTGTATGTTTGGTCTATTCTTAATGTAATATTGAACTTAATACTTTACGGAAACAAATATCTATGAATATACATATTCATACGTATGCATGAATACATATATATGCAGATAGATAGACACACATATATCGACTCACAAAATGCCAACTGGATGTGTGGACTCCTGACACAATCCGTTTAACAAATCAGTTTAGTGGAATAAATATTTGTTGAGAAAAGACGCATCTGCTCTGAAGAGCAAATCCATCTCCCCATTTGCCCTTCTCCGTCCAAATGCAATGCTGCCTTCTTTGTAGATTCTATTTAGGGAACAGGATGGAGATTGGCTCTGACTCTGGAGCGGGG